TAAAAAAAATATTTGTTTTTTATACATTTCCCCTCACGGTCCTTTTTTATAGATAAATTGTAGACTAATTAGTACGCGATTAATGTTAACGAAAAGAAGGGAGAATAAGAATATTAAAATTTATTCCGCAGAGCTAAATTAAAAACTACTTCGGAAATAAAAATCTAAGCGAGTTTTAAAATATCTCTTAACTACGTGTCAAATTCCTGAAAGGCCTAGGGTTATACTTGCCTAATGTTTTCCACCCTATAAGCCCGTGATTCAAACCAGACGCCGAGAATTTTATCACGAGTACTCGAACGGAAAAATGATACCGGCGTTCTCGACCGTTTGCTTCCTCGAAACGGCGCGCGCAAAATCGATCGTTGTCTTGGTAATATTTCTGAAAAACTAACATGATTTACTCGGGAATACGAATGGCGTAGTATTCGCCCCTCGAAACGTGTCCCCTCTAATCTGCACGCTAGCAATTTACTCCGACCGAGCCGACCAATTATGTGGAAAACGGCGAAGAATTTGCGAGTGCCGCACATGCAACGCACGCACACGCGGCCGCGCGCAGTGCGCGGCAAGGGTAATCGTTAAAGACAATCTGAGCCTTCCATCTCCCGGTATTGACCCAGACGCAAAAACCAGACAGGAGCGCGAGAAAATTGCACGAAAAAACACCGGTATAACCAGCACGTGTCGTCAACTAAATTGTCAACTACAATAACTACGGCGACCTTACGATCGATATTTCCCAAGTTATCCGATGCTCTCGCGCAGTAACGTGTGAAATATCGCATAGAAACTTATCTGTATTTCGATGTTTACCGTTTCGTTGATTCCGCAGATCGCGTCGGGATACAAATTTAATATCATAAATGTTTCTCTTAATTTAATGAAAAATCTTATCTCCTTACCATGTTACCTACACCGAGACACGCAATGAATTGAGCTGTCATTGCGCATCGAGAAATTGTCAAGTGAGGCGAATGGCGGGTAAAGAATTGCCATATAATGTTTGTTATATTGTTAAACGTATTGAACTATACGTTTAAAACGCGCATATTTTAAGTAAATTTTCCTTAATGCAACTTGATACAAATTTTATTTCGGATTCATGTCAATACTTGTTACATAATAGTTTTGTACTTACCAACGTTAACACTTCCAGCCGTTGGTCTTCTTCATGAAGGGCTTGTGAAAACTGATTTTAACTGTAATGCAATGAATTCTTTTCTCTCTATCACATTTAAAAACACTCGCACTTCACATAAATTGTAATCCGCACGTGATAATTTTTCTAAATAATATCTTCCAAAATTAATGGTATTATTAACTTGTCGCGCGCGTAAAAGACTAAGGCACTGACTTTATTAACTTGTGTTACGGACCGCGGGAGTTTTAGAAAGCTATAGGTGCCATCGGACGAGCGAGGAGGAACTGACAGAGGAAAGTTTGCACTTTGATATATCCCTTCTAAGCCAGGCAAGGATTCCTACTATTGGTCACAATATACCCTCGTGCAACTTCGTTTGTCCCGAGAAAAAAATGCCCGGCACGGACTAAAGGCTTCCCTTCAACTCGGTTTTCTTAAAAAAAAAAACGAAATCTTTATGACCGTCCCAACGACAGTAGTCTCGGCGAGAGCGTCGTTGGCGGAACTTTCTCAAAACCGTATATCGCAGTAAGGTGAACCCGTAATATTTCAAATCGGTGAATTGCATATAATTATCAATCATAATTTATCAGAATTAAACAGGTTGTCGCGCGTATTTGCGGCGTAACCTCTTTATTCGCCGCAGGCGAGCGAAGGGGAAACAGTCGCGTATGTTTAACGGCAGAAACGATCGCTACAATTTATTTCAACGATTACGATCCATCATCGAAACGTTTGCGCACAATTGATAAGTGTTTTCCCCGTGCAGGATATCGGTGTCCTTCGGTCGAATGTGCACGGGCAATTTCTTGACTTAATGTTACGAAGTTTCTAACACCAACGATCTACATTGTTGCGCATGGGAGGAGCGAAGTCTCATAAAGAGCAAAGAGATATGATCTCAATTAGCTCGGGCCAAAAGTACGGGTACGAAATGAAACAGCCGATAAGAACCCGACGACGTGTTCCATTTACGGTATGCAGCTTTCGAGGTGAGTTACGTCTCCTCTACCATTTGAGTAATTTCTCAAACATATTTATCACATCGTTATCATCGCATTTTACTTCTCTCACGAAAATGATGCAGTATTTACGCAGTTGAAGGGCGTGCACATATTTAATTACCGGCGCTATTTCTGAGAAAATTAATATAACCGAGCTGTAATAGCGATAGATCGTTAATTAATTCTAGTTGCGCGATATCTACATCGGAGGATACTCGAGGGAAATTCAAGCAGTAAAATAAGAAAAGGTTTTCATCAGCGGCTCTCCGTATCGTAACTTTCATATAGTATAGCGTAGGAGAATCTGTACACGAGAATACGTGAGAGGTAAAATAATATGAAAGAATACGGACGAATAAAGATGCCCGAATAGACGTAAAAATAAATACCCGAAGAAAATGTGTTTTAATGCACTAAGGAGAGAGGACTCCCATAGTCTTCAGTGCGTCGGGTCGTCGCTTTGTAGCGGGCGAACTTTCGTTAAGAATTCCGTGGTGGTAGGAACCGGAAACCGTTGGAATCCAGAATGATAAAGAAATAATTCGCGGAGGGTACCGCTGCTACTTGCACGTAATACAGAAGAGGCTGATCTGACCCTGGCGCAACGGCGCACACCGACGTCTCGTCCCGCAAGACTCGGAAAGTATAGCGTGGCTGTAATGTTACAAGCACGGGGAGATAAGAGACCGTGAGACTGTGGACCGAGACTCGGGCAATAAAGTTAGCGGCGTATAACGACCGAGATGTGAAGAGCATGGTGCACGTCTCTTGTTATTTTCGTCATCCGCGATGTTTCAACGTAACCGGCTGATTCGTTACTGCCAAACGCTTCTCGGTGCTTTATCTCCGCTTTAACGACCTTGATACGTATAAAAAGTGATAAAGAGCTGGCAATATTTGAGAAGAGAAATTTTCTCGGGACGATAAGCTATCTACTTGGATCAATCATTACGTTGAAGAGTCGCGTTTCTCAAGAAGCATGGCGGGGCGTTTCTTTTTTCTTTTTCGTTTGGAATTCTATCGAATTTCTTTTATCACGTACAAATTGTATCACGCACGAGGGACACGGGGCGCGACGTCTCTAGGATCCCAGTCAGTTGTGATGTACGAAGAACAATGGCGTCGTTGTATTCAGACGAGGGGGGGTCACCGTTTCCGCGCCTTCATCCATTTATACGTTTCAGTTAAAGTCCTCGAGGGACGTCGCCCTTCGCCCGTTTCTTCCTCCGCGTAGGCAGGACGATCCTTCGGATCTCGCACCGGGTCCACGCCACTTTCCTACCTTCCCCAGCGCCGGGGGCCAACGAAACCAATAAGTAAGGGCAGAGAAACGGGATGGAGGACGGCGCGCCGGCGAGAAGACATACATTCGAAGCGACGTGGATATATGCGCGCGACGTGCGGATATACATGACCGTCCGTATGTACGCGATGCCGTTGGTAACCTTAACCCCACGAATTAATATTCCATACGCGCCGCGTGTACGAGGCCTCGCGGATCGCCAATGGCGCGCCGTGCGCGAAGAAAACGTCCTGGACCCTCCGGAAACACCGGGCAAGGACAAAGAGATCGGGACGGGTTTTGCCGCGGGATCTATTTCATTCGTCAATCAGACAATACCGGGTCCTAGCTCTCCGCCTACCATGGATAATAAGATTCTATAAAGCGGATCAGGCCGATTCCACGTGACATTAGGGGAAGGTCGTGCTGCGAACAACTGGTTTCGTACATTAACGGAAATACTCGTGACACCACTTTGGACTCGCGTACACGTGTAGAACAAAAGATCAATAATGTAGTTTCGATCGAAATTTGCAAAAGTTCGAATCGCACCGTACGCGGCTACGAAATTTTATCGAGCGTTCGATTAATCGTCACCTTTTAGTTTATTAATTGAGCGGCACTTTCCAAGTTGTTACAGAAAAAATACAACCGTACCGTGTGAATAAATTTTCGTATACGATAAATTCTCCCCTTTTTACGTGGAACATAATTTAAAAAATGTTATGTCACGTTATTTCTAATATTGTGTTCGTGATTTCTTTTTTACCTCACTTTAGGATCTAAAAACGATCGTTTTTTAGATGAAAGATGCGCGATACAAAGCAAAATGGTGCGATACACCAAATACAAACGGATTGCAAGAGAAATGGGTGATCGGCAAATAGGAAGAGAGCCTAGGGGACCGTGACGCATAAACCGATACGGTTATTTCCGAATATCCGCAGCCATACGCGACCACTCGATGCCTCCATTTCAATGTTCCACCCTTGCAAGCGTAAAAGTGGCGAAAATTCGATGAGATGTGGGAATGGAAATCTAGCAGAAGCTAGAAACAAAAGCTTGTCCTCACGTGCCGAAATTTGCCATCAAAATGTACATGTTCACATGTAAGAGGGGGCGCTTTTTAATACTATCTTTGTCTTCCTTCATTTCACGTTTTCATGTCTCGACGAGATAATCGAGACAAAGAACTACACGAAATTCAAATACTCCATTTTGTACAAGAAGAACCGCTAGAAATTCGAGTCTGCAATAGAAAGATAAGAATACGTCTGTCTTGTATATAGCCATCCGTGTGCCACCGGATTATATAAAAGATAAAGTAGAAAATTGACGAGAGAAATTAAAGCGTTGGAAACGATTTCATTATCGCATCGTGAATATACGCCATCCTCGCGCATTTATTCGTCAAGATATGTCTATCAAAATTATTATTACGGCTTCTGCAAAATGGCGTTCTCTATACACGAGTTGGCTCAAGTCACTTACGATTGTATACGCACACGGCGAGAAAGAGAGTGATAATAGAACGGTGAGAACTTCGTTACAGGAATAAAACAAGCGTCCATAATTTACTATATGTTTTTATTTCGTTTGTAATATCATAGATAGCTTACGAATATAATTCTACATCAAGTTTTGAAAATGGATACATTTACATTCATTGTCAATGAATTACCACCTCGCTCGCCATCATCATCGTTATCATCATCGTCGTCAATCTCGTCACCAGCTCTCGTCGTACGGTATAATACTAATCATTAATAGTCAATAGACATGAGACTCCATTATTTCATTACTCCTATTACTTAACGTGGTAGGTAGGTAGGTAGGTATTGAAGGACAGCTACGCTCGCTTATCGTTACATTATTACGTTAATTGGGTATCATCGATACGTTAAGACCCGCGGATTCATTCGTCTTAATTAATTTTCTCTTACGGCTCCTCATTCACTGGGCGATGTTAACGTTAGGGTGGTGTTTAATATTTACATCGAGAATATTGTTGAGATAATGTACGGCTCTCCATCCATTCAATAGATACAAAATTAACGATTAAAAGATTAAATTCCGCATTCGGATAATTTCAAACGGCATGGGAGAATGGAATATTAAAAAGGGCTCGAATTGAATTAGAATTGACAATTAACTTCTCTCACTTACGGAGTTTCGCAGTGTTATTGCGTGACATCACGAAAGAACAGAACAGAAACAGACTGCGCTGAATAAGAGAGACTATAACTTTGAGCAAAGAAATTGCAGAATCTCGGAAATGAATATCTCTACAATTCGATGGAAATGGAATTTCCATCCATGCTGATAAAAATGTGCACAGGCCCGGTCTTGCTGCTTCTTTTGTTGTACGAGACATACAGCCTTTCGTTTTTCTATTTAAATACAATAAACAACATTCAATTAAACAATCGGAGCAGAACAAGTGTCCGTTAAACATAACTCTTGAATCTGTGTCAACAACTTCGGGGAATTTTACTTTAATCAAAGCGTTCGGTGACAGGAAGAGCAACCAAATGTTGCGATGAAATACGTTTCCCGTGTAAACTTTTCACGCACAGCTTATGACAAAACAAAATGAGACGATCCCTTGCACCGTCAAGACAAACACTGAAGAACGTTTTGCACCGGATTTCTCCAAGTTTCGCCAGGTTATAACAAGTGCAAATCAGGGAAACTATTACATATGCGGGACGCGCTGTCATAGGAAGATCATTAAAAAAAATTCGAGACGTAAAAAAGCTGCCACAATAAAAAAATAACATTTAATGTGTATATAAAAACTGATTAGCTTATCACTTTATACGGAATCAGTTGTGAGCAACGTCAATGGCAAACAATTACCAAAAATAACAATAAAGACAGTCAACACATTCTTGCGAACGAACAGAAACATTTTAAATATGTTCAACATCGTCCGATGTTATTTAGATCCCAAACAGCAATCTGTTCAACAGTTAATTTTTGCATACTCACAGTCGACTCCAACCTCAAGTGCCCAGACTTGTGTTCACGCTAGCCGGACACACGTTACACTAGTACACACAGGTCGAACGGACAAATGCAATAAGTATAATACAACCAGTTGCGCGAAGGACAACGAGATTGTTCCGTACCGATCGTCAGCGTTTAGTTGCCAAAGAAGAAGACTAGAATTAGTTTCTTTTTTCGGCATCCGTGCGGGACATTCGACCGAAATCGTTGCTGCCTATTAAGCTTAGAAATTACGGTACGCAACAGCGTCATTGCCTTCGAAGAATATTAAAAATCTACATAATATATCTATATAAAAAAATACGCATCGAAACGAAAATAGAGACGACAAGCGATATATTCACACTATGCTATCGTTAAAAAAAAAATTCGTCAGTACCTTTCTTTTCACATTAACAAAAACAAATATACGAAAAAAAATACGTAAAATAAACAGCTCATAAATAAACAATGACATCTATAGATAAAGAAAATATAACAAACAATTTCTTTTCTCGTATCAATCCTACATATTCCGCCAAACGGATTCGACTACTTGTTTCATAAATAACGTTTTCTTTTTCTTCCTTCAACCAATACGCGGCGCTTAACGCGAAGAATAGGTAAGTAATTAATTTCAATGTTGCCAATAGATTCGCATTTGCTTACAAATAATACGATGTGATTTACGCTGAATATTTCACGCTCTCGGTCCCTGCCATACACATACACACACACACATACGCGCACGCGTTCTCTCTCAGACTCACTCATCTTCATTACTTTCATGCAGCCCTCTTTATCCTCGAAAGCAAAATTTCTTCCACGACTCATACACGCACATTAAATGTTACTACATCGTTTAACCAATGTTTGAGCCACACTCTAGTGTTCATTCTATATTTATTAATTCGGATAAGAGAAGTCCTCGCGCGGGGTTTGGGAAGTGGAGATTGGGTGGGAAGGGGGGGGGGGGCTTGCTTCAATAAATATTTTTGCTTTAACGTCGAAGAACCGGCCGTGGCCACGCGAATTCAAGAAAGACGTGTACGCGAGTTTGGCAAGTCGGGCAATGTTGTACTACTAACATATTATGTGTTTCCCTTTCTTTAACGTTTCAGTAGATATACCTAGTCGGTACTATCAATTCGACATAGTACACATCTACGATAATGGTAAGATTAGAACGAGTATATAAATGACAGAGAGGTAGAAGCGGAAAGGAAAAGGGAGTAGTGGAAGGACACAGTTCGAAGGAGTAAGGAGGAAAGGGAGGGGGACGGGGGGAAGCGTCATGAACGTTATATGATATGATTATGCGTCAGTTATTTGGAATAATATTCTATAACCATATAGAGAGTTGCTGCAGCTAGCTTAGATATAAGCCAAGAGAAAGCTTCATATGTGGACGGCGCCCGCACAATTTTTACTCTAAAATTTCCGCCTTATACCTCTACACTCTTCCGACCCATGCGAAAGATTCGAGAAGGGATCTCACTGATTAGGATACATCGGATGCAGACTAATTCGCGTAATTCGGAAAATCACGTGTCAAATCCGCGACGTAGTATACATTCTAAGAGTTATTAAATACCTGTAGTGCCAATTTTCAAACAAGTCGATCGTTCTTTTCTTCTTTTTTTTTAAAAGTTACTCGTATACCCATTGTAAAAGTATAAAGTGAGCAGTTGTAACGCTCGTAAAAATTCCGCATCAACAATGTTTATAAGCGATCAACGAAGCAGTTGAAACAAAAAATTTCCCGAAGCTGTTCCTCGAATAAAATAATGCGGTATCACACAATAATTCTGATTATCGTTATGACAAGATTTGTTCCTTTTTTTTTCTCATTTGAGACTTCCGGAAGAAAAATCGCTAATCCTTATCGTCGATCCGTTTCTCAAGTCCAACACTGTGGTCGATATCCGACGTATGCGCGCAAAAATCGGCGCTACTCCGTACGTCGATGCCATCCCCTTTATTCGCCACACACCGCCTCGCTAAGAGTTAAGGACTTAATATATATCGTAAATAGAAACTAACACGGCCGCCATAAATCTCATCGCCCCATACTGTACAAATTCTTCGGACTAATAATAATTATTATTACGCATTACGTATATCTCTAATTTGTCGGACGTATCGGCGCCGCCATCGTCGCAGTTGCTGCTGTCACGTCACTTAATAATTAACGGTGTCTGTAGCAATAACATAAAAACATAACTAAGCAATAATAATGATAATAACTCATATTTAATAATAATATAATAATAAAACTAACACTCGCGCGTCCGCCTTGTAGAGTCGAGAGCTACATGGTGGACTTGACGGGTAAATTTATAAAACAAAATAAAAAGAATAATAGTGATGATGATGATAATGATAATAATAATACAATAATAATAATTATTCGTAAATAGAGTCATGTGTCTATAAAGCTTTTCTATAATATAAATAGATACACCGATTCTCGGGGCTAACCGCGTCACGTGCGTCCCTCTCATTTTTTTTTTCGATTCCACCATATTACTTCTTTTTTTTTGTTCCGTATACAATGAGCCGGAGTATGTTTAGGCGCGATCGTACTTCTCTTTCTCTTTCATTTTGACATTCCGACAGAACAACCGAAAGATCCTTGGGCTACGGCCACGAAATATACAATAATTACGTTGTGTACTCTTAACACGATAACAGATTACGTGGAGTGGAACCGATATACAAATATGTGTTGCGTTGTTCCATAATATTTTTGTATATCTATATGCGTAAGTCGAGTGCAAGCACGAAATATGGCTCGACATGTGACGATCGTATTGATGCTATAAAAAGTTGTCTTACTCGAATAAAAATGTGTCGAAAATTATAACGCATCTGTTTTTGTGCCTGCGAAGTAAACATTTAATGCACCTTCTGCCGCAGATCTGGCAGATAAATCTAATGGAAAGATATAATTAAAACTGGGTTGAATCCTCATTGATTTATTACAAAATATACTTACACTTTATATCAAATTAGCAAATTTAATTAATTAATTAATTAAATTTGATTAACAGTTTCATTAATCATTAATGACTATTATCTCCGCAGTACATAATATCGCTATTATCATTATGAACCGCACCATTACAGCGCCTCAGGAGGCTACATTACTTTTTTCATTTGAATAATAAATTCAAAGTATATTCCGCAAGTATTTTAATCAGCTGAGCATTAATATCCGTAAATGCGACCATATTTCTGCGAGTGCTCTCGTTACCTTATTGAAACCTAATTTCTGCAAAACTGTTTAAATCTTACACACGCATATATTATGTTCTACTTCATTCTTTTTCATTTTGCACATTACATGTTAAAACACTATTACGATTACGGTATGTAAGTAGGTACTTCGCTAAGTGAGGAGATACGTGAGTACATCGTACGTGCGGACTCACACGCGCAGCTTAATCATTACATTACGTATGGGAATATTATTTATAGTATTATTCTTTTAGTTTAGGTAAAATTAGCGGTAGAGTATTTTAATACGAATACGTTTTTCCTTCCATTTATTTAGGTGTGCCTTCTTTTTTTTTTTGCTTTGATTACGGACGTCTATTTGGAGCTGCTCGCCGTTATTATGCTATTTTCTCATTCAATTAGATTAACAAGGTATTTTTTCCCCTCAGTTTACGTACTTGTTTAAATGTATCCTAAGATCTTACCGCATCAGAAAAAATTTTACCTTGATGCACGATACAACAGATTTTCATTTTTTGTCCATATATATATATGTATATAATATATACTTATTACTTTTAATAATATATAATATGGTATTGTGTACAATATGATTTTACGTCATTATAGTTATTAGGCGATCCATGCAATAGATCCCGGTCTTAATCTGAAAAAGTGGGATTTGCTTGTCAGATTTTACGTATTTCTCATTCCACAAATATATGATAAAATTTAATCTAAAGATATACACAATTATATACTTTTAGATTAAGATCTTATCCCTCTAAAAAACAATAACAAATATGTTTTTTTTAATTTTTTTTGGGTGATAATTACACAACCAATGAAAAATGAGCACATTGTGTTGCTCAGCATTAAACAATGTGCATTTTTTATTTTGTGGCTATTAAATTAAGAATAGCCCCCTACGCGCGTCGGACAAAATTTGTTCAAGATAGGGAATTATACGATAAGAAATCAGGACCTATGCATCGATCGCGCTAACATGGAGGAGAAAAAAATAATTAGGCAATAATTTATATATCGGTTATTCCTTTTATGTTTATCTTTTCCTTTTTTTACGAACTCTAAGTAAGTAATACCAACAACGGGTTCTATATCTATGGAAAAGTCTACCCTGACACCAAATTACGTATTTAATGTACTAAGAGTGAGATACTCGTCCGGTAATGTGGTTCGTGTTTCTCGTACGTATTTACGAGCGTGTATCCATGTGTAGCTTATACTTTCTCCCGCGTTTGTTCTTCATTTTCATCAAAAATTAGCGTGTAGTCGCGAACATTTACGAATCTGTATACTCCAATGCACGGCTGAGAAGAACAATTAAGAAGTGGGCAAATTATATAATTCAAATGACTGACCGATCGTCATACAGAAATTATATTATGGAATTTACCACGCGGAACGTTCTTGTCCCAACTTGAGGTCGACGATTAAAGCATTCTCTCGAAACGACAAACAGATCAAATGTATGTTACGTGTACTTGTGTATATGTATAATTTTTTTTTCTTGTTTATCGACACGGCAGGATAATCGAGACAATTAGTTGTCAGAGCCTTGACAAAGTGCGGTTGCCAAGCATATTGTACAGTTATTTACCATCTATATCACGCTTTCGAGAAACAATGCTTAGAAAGATATATTCTTGAGAAAACCAATGTTTATTATACTCACGGCACGTTACCTCGTTCCTCAATGTCTGAATAGCGCGTTTATGCCTCTCTCTCTCTCTTTCCATTACAACATCTACATTTCTTAAATTCCTCGACAAAATTCGCGAATTCAACGATACTTTATTGCTCACGATAGAATACTACTTTTTTACTCACGTTGGTAAAAAAATAAATACCCTAAATTTTTATTGTGTCTAAAATAATTTACTATATTTCGTTAACGAAAAGTTTCTTGCGACTTGTCTGAATTGACGTATCGGAATGGCTGAAAAACACAAGCGGTATGTTTTTCTTATATCCGTGAGTATAGGTTCTCTTTTTGTGCGAAACCGAGCGTACCGAAAGAGGAGCTTCAAGGAAACAGTTGTTTTACGACACATACATTACATGTGCATTGCGAATCTAATTTGTAAAATCAGATCTTTCTCTCCAAGCAAAATACAATTTTCCTTATAAAACCCATAGTAGATAAAACTTGCTGTACTGCCAATGACTAAACCGTTTGTTCGATGAAACAGTTGAGAATTTTAACGCGCAACATCGGCGTTGGTAATGTTCAGCTAATTCGTTTGAAAAGTGAACGTGCAGATATTAAATGCCTTTAATTGAATAAAAAAAAAGAAGAGCGACGTAGGGGAAAATACTCGTGTACGCCCGTTACTTCTAATCGTAGACCGATATCTAGAAGGAGTATCGGAGTTACCGGAAGTCCGCAATCGCGCGAGAGACACGTTCGTAGTTGCAACGAGAACGTCGCAAATTTTACGCCTCTTGTAATTTCGTTTAGTGATCGTACGAAGGAAGCGTTCGACGTCGACGGTAAAACATTTCAACGTCGAAAATGATGAAACCGTTTTCCCGAGACTGCGCGCACCGTAATTCTTCCTCCGGAACGGATGATGCTTCCTACACGGGAGATGAAGCTAATCAACGAAAATTCGCACGGTACAAGGTAGAACGATGAATCGAAGATTAGCCAAACTCTTATCTCGCTGGTCTCTTAGATGCCGGCTCGCTTGCGCAGTTTGATTTAGTCGCTTCCTTCTCGCAGAGTTCGATCAATTAAAATCGAAATGTCGTCGTTAATGATTTCTGTCGGCCCATACGACCAATTAACCCTTTAGTTTCGGCCCATTTAACTAATCTACTCACCGCCTCGACGTAATTATTGGCTGTCCATGGCAGTATCGCGCCAATTCGTACGTTCATCGCTTGATAATCGCGATGGCTCATTGTGTAGCACCCGATTAACAATATACATTATACGTTCTAGGAATCAGTCACAGGCTGAGCCCCGTGCAAGGCGGTTTCGCATGCCCGCCCTTCGGAGGCTAGCCAAGTAAGTACGTAGCTGGGGTGGGGTGCGTTCATTCTCTATATGCTTCGAGTTTTTACTATCGTAACATCTACTTATTTTTCTTCTTTCTTGCTTTAAAAAAAACAAAAGAGAGAACCGATTCTGCAAGGCATTCGTCGTACCTTTCTTTTTGTTTTTCGGTCGCCCGGAGGAGATCGCGCTCTGTGTATCTTCCAGGCTTCCTAAATCCTCGCTATCTTCCCCCCCCCCTTGGTAAAAAAAGGACCGATGACCGCATCCGCAGGGTCCTCTACTCGCGAGCGCCCGCTCACCGACTCGAGGAAGATCGCCGAAATCTTTGCGTGTCAGATGTTCCGTACCTGTGTCTCGCGTGCGAAGATGAGAGGAAGAGAACTCAGGATCTTCTACGTGATCGACCTTACCAACTACTTCGCTTCGGAGTCTTCGTCCAGGCCGCTCCAGTCTCTTGTGTCTTCCTTAAAAGAAAGAGAGTCGGCTCAGTAAGGTATCCTATGTGGGTACCTTACTGACTGCCTTCAGAAGATCGCTTTGCGTTTTTTCCAGGCCGCTTACGTGATGCTGTTGCTGATGCTGAAGGGCGGCGCTCTGCTGCTCCTGCTGCAACTTGGCCTGTTTCTCCGCCTGCTGTTTCTTCATCATATCTTGCTCCTCGCGCTCGCGTCTGGCTTGCTCGTTGATTTCTTTCACCGCCCTCAACTCCTTTTTCAACTTCATTCGCCGATTCTGGAACCAGATCTTGATCTGTCGTTCCGTCAGGCAGAGTGCGTGCGCGATTTCTATTCGCCGTCGTCGCGTCAAATAGTGATTGAAGTGAAATTCTTTTTCTAATTCCAGTGTTTGGAACCGCGTGTACGTTTGCCGACCTCTGCGCCTCGGGCAGCCGTTCGGACCTGAAAATGTTAAGAAATCTAATTTTTGAGATCACTCGATTGATTCTAGACTCCACCTTGCGTAATATTAATGTGCGGGCAAATTTTATTATGCAGCTACTTGCGAAATTCAAAAACGTCCGAAACTTTTTTTAATCTGAAAATTAGCTCTCTCTTTCTCTTCGCATTGTTTGCAAGTAAATTAAAAAGTACAAACACATTAAAAGAACGAGGCAGCATAAATATATTCCATATTTCTGTAATAAAGAAAATTACAACGTATCTTAATTTTCTTTATGGGGCATAAAAGCACAGTAACAATAAGGGTGTCATCTCCGTTTCTAATTGACGATCTCGAACGTTCTTTACACCCCGTCACAAATTTTAATTCTCTCACTTTCTCCTCTATCGAAAAGAAAAGAAAAAACGTTGTTTGAACCTACCACTTATTGCGAGGGTTAATACACGTAAAAAAGGATGAATAAAAATAGAAAGTTTCCAGGAAGCTCTCACAAAAGTTACCCACGACGAACCCTTTCTAGTGCTACTTCACTCTTTAACTTTCTCCGGGAGTTGATGTCATAAACAAGGATACAGGCGACTTTAAATTTTTTTTTACGACTTTTAAAGGTACGAATCGAAACGGCCGAGTGCGCAGGTAAAAAAAAAAGTTTGCGCGACGCTGCGGGATCTGCCTCGGAACGGTTTCTACGACAGCAAGTGCCGGCTACGATTAAGCGACAGTAATAACGATTAAAGTCAAACGTAAAATAATCGGGGGGAATAATTTATTGCGAATCAAAGGTAGCGGGGCGAACTACGATAGTTAACGTCTCCCTGCCCTAAAATGTCCTTGCTGAATTTCGAGTCGGTATTTTCGTAATCAATTCGATAGGTAACTTCACTTTCAGTTGTCGCCACGGGCGAGGGGCATCTCTTTTCTGAGGCTCGCGGAGAAACCGGTTCTTTAGTGCAAAGAGTGGACAGCCATAATACCATCATTCGCGGAGCGACGCTGAGTGGCCATATTACTGCCTCGTGATGAAGCAAATGCGTGCTACTGGCCAATAAAAGATAGCGAGACTTTTCTTTCCGATTATTTTACGAGAATGCGAGGATTGTATCGACGCGGTAAAAAGCGAGAAAATTAATTATTATATTGGCCGGGGCCCGAAAGGATATACTTGTAAGAATTAGTCGCAGGTGCGTTGAAAGTAACGTAACACGTTACAAATAAGGGCACTTTAGCTTTCAACAGCCAACGAAATACGGTACACTTTTCTTTCTCAAATGCAACTTAAATCGACAAAGTGTCTCGCCGCGGGGGATTAGAAAATTACGAAGAAAAGTGATTGCGAAAATTACGAGGAACAGTGACAATTATATTCTTGCGTTGAAAGTTCGCCTGCTACGGATTTCAGGATCGAGATGAGACCGCGTTACGTGAGATACCGCGCATCCATTTTCATAAATAAATAAATCTGAAGCGTATAATGGCACTTTCGCAGAAGACAGTAATACTATTCATGAGGCTGATTAGCGAGCGATTTACGCTCAAGTTATGGGCGGTGTGTAGATACAGCTGGCAGTGATTTGCTTACACCTCGCGCGGAATGGCGTGTCGGGAAATCGGATTAACGAACAGCACAGGGGGTATTACCCCGCGACAGATTCAAGCCGTATTTTCCATCTTCCGTCATACACGATACTCGCGCTCTAGCGATCGGGCCGCACGAATGACACGCACGTGCGCAATTCCCGATGCAGGATGACCCATCAAATACGTATCGCTCCGGGGCGAGCAGAAAACTCCTGGAGAATGCAGAGAATGCTGATATTGAATTCAGCATGGCCGTTCTCGCCAGCGCGGTCCACGGGCTCGCGTCGGTGTATACGCGCGTGTACCTGAATCAGCGACCACACTCACGAATTCCGCTTTTTACGCGCGTGTGGTGGGACCGGCCGCGCGCCTGTGTCGGTGCGAATCAACACCGTTTTTAGCGCGGCCGTGTGCGTCAGTTTGGCACACGTACGCCCGCTGCAGCCACGGGGTGGTTACCGAAGCCCGAAGGGTGGGACATAGGTTACCTTGGCAACCAGAGGGGAGATCATTCTATCCTCCTGGCGGCATATCACGCGGCAGCCAGCGAGCCTAGCACAGCAGCCAGAAAACTCTTGGCTGCATCCTCTCCAGCGGGGCTCTAGGAGGGCCCCGTTGCACGTCGGTCTTGGAAGACGGGTGAACTTGATTGCGCCCACTCCATTCGCCGTAAATATGGCACATCGGCGAAGCGCTGGCGCGCGAGCATTATCAATAATTTCGACGGGGAAAATTAATGCCGCCGTGCCGGAATTTATCCGGCGAGAATAAAGTTGCGCGCCGGAGGCTCACCAGAAGCCGTCAAGAGCGGAGAGAGGGAGGGATATTCGTTCGATGAGACTAACGAAAACTTTTACTCCTCTGAAATAAAAATGCGAGATACCTTTAGAGAATATAATGCAGGCGATAGCCGACGGCGAAATTAACAATTTCCTCCGCGCGCATAAACATGTGAGAAGTTCAGGGGCTTCTTTTCACGTTGCGCTCAACGCGAAAGGACGATACCCGCGCGCGCGGGATATAAAAGATAGATATCGCTTATCGCGGAAACCGCGCAAAGTGTTAATTAGCATTTCTGTCGTGAATGATTCAGGGACAAATAAATTATGGTCGATTGCCAGTGGTCCATTGCCACTCTACGGAAGGGCGACACGATGGGACGCGCGCACAGAAATACGCCATTATGGATGGCACAGGCCTGTGTCTAATTACGGTCATATACCAAGTTTAATATCTGCTTTAGGTCTGCTTTAGCATGCAGCTCCGAGAGCTTGGGGAACAATCGTGGATATTGTGGAAGTTTGTCAGGCTACGCCCGCCGTTTCCTAGCCGCTGCGCATCCAGATCGAGGCGACCTTTGCTATTTTTTTCTCTTTTTATTTAATCAGAGAAATCCTTACCTCGCGTTCGAAAATAACGAACGTTCGTATTTGACTAAATCTCCTCGGTGTCGTCCGCTTAGACGAGCTACGTGAAGAGATATCGAGTTTTTATTCTATAAATAATCGGCGGCCCGTGCTCTCTTAGATCTATTAAAATAATATATTGGACGGTCCGTCCGATATTGCCAGATGCCCACGGGTGCTCGCGCGTCCACGAGGCGACTCGTGTTGCGCGAGCAACATTACCATCGCTATGTAAATGAATCGGTATTAAGTCTTAATATTATAATCAGTCCTTCAGTCAAAGTATCGAGTGCGAACTGAGAAGGAATAAATCTGCAATTTATTAAGGAATCGCGCACTACCATTAAAAACGTTCTTGAGTGTCGCGTAGACCTCGTCCGAAGACGAGCTAATCTGACTACCCGTTAATACCGTGACGCAAAAAAAAATATTAGCGCGACGACTGTACGTCACTTGGAAGAAAAAAAGAAGATGTACGCGATGCCAAAGAGGCGTTAGATTTCGCCAACGCACTGCCCAGTCTTGACAGCACCTGCAAATCGCGAACCCTCGCGTCTAGATACGTCGCGTTAGGGCCAAACCCCTCTTTGTTCGCCCGCCGGAGGGACCATGCGTGAGCCCCTCAGCGATCCATTCATAAATATCTCAAAACGGCTTAATTTCGCGGCGCTGCGGGCAAATAAAATCTCGAGCCGGTGAAAAATGTAGACAGTTTGCCAGATGAAGGAGAACGAGCGGGGGAGAGGGGTAGAGGGATGAGAGAGAGGAGATACGGCGCAGCCCACGACCCACGGCTCGCTTGATCGCCGTCTCGGGTCACTGCAGCCTCTGCCAGAACGATAGAGTTGGAGAGGACCGGGTAGGAGGCGCGTTAAAGGAACGAGAGGGAAAAGAAGTGGAATGCGAAAGAAACGGCCGGGAGAACGAGAAGGAGCGGGGGAATGAGATGTGTAAAGGAACGAGAGGGATGGAAAGTGCCAAGGAGGAAAAATGCCCACGATAACTCCGCCGTCCATTCCGTCGCGGTTCCAACTCTCGGCCGCGATTTATGCGGCTAATCCCCGCACTTTTCTTGCCCACGTATCCCGCCCGGTCGCCAGGTATCCGGGCTGGACTGTATTTCAAGGCCGATCCCGCCGATTATTCAGCTACGCCAGACGGTAGATACCCCTGTTGTTCTATCTGACGTTCATTAAACCCCCTGCGCCCTGCGCCCGGCGCGCGGCGCCCGGTGCCGATGCCGTTGCCGATGCTGTCGCCGATGGTCGCCTATGGTCGCCGATGGCCGCGGTTATCGGGAACATAAGTCGCGTGAAAAATTCCAAGTGGCTGGAATCTGGACGATCGGGAGACCGGTGAAGTTCGCGTTAGCGTCCGCGAAATGTTACACGCGGGGAATTCGCAGACTATGTTATAATTTCTATTCCGTAACCGATAACGCAGGGCTTTTTTCTGCCGCGCAGCCACGGGAAAGGTTGTATCCCCGATGCTTATTGCCCAGACGGGCCGGTACGTATATCCGATACCACCGCGGGAAGTGCGCTATGTAAATTTTATGCGGGCTGCTGTTCGCAGCTAATTATTGTAAGCGATACGCGAAAGAGGCCCCGATTAAATCTACTCTAATTTAAAGGCCAATTTAAATAAAACGCATTTTGATCACGCCAGCCCCGGCCACTTGTAATTGGATAATTTTACAATTCGAATATGTCCCTCCGTAGATCGCCGAAACGCTGCTTATTCAAGTGTATCAATGACACATTGCTTTTCCACTTGGAACGTTAATCTCCACCGTCGATATATCGGCGCGAGGCGCAGCGAGAGACTCGGGCGATTACCTAATCAGACCTCGGAACCAAATCAGTCGGTCATTAAGGAATATTATTTCTGCGCCATAAACTTCGTCGTCGAATTACCCCTCTTAATGTCCTGCTTCTTTTCGTACCCGGAAAACCAACTGGAAATCGGTATTTCGTTACGCGAGAGATTCTAACGTTTTTTCACTCCAATTTATAAATCGGATAAACCACGCT